AAGATTTCCATAATATTTTGGGGTTCATTTTCATAGCTGGCTCTCAACATTAATTAATTTATAGACTCCTTCCATGATAAATGAATGAATGGCCCCCAGGAATACGTCGGCACCATCAATGGCTCAATGCCCACCAATCCATCAATTTCTATCTTATTCATGGAGTTAAGAATTTTAAGTTCTTGTAATTACTCCAAGAGATACCTTGACTCAATAATACCCACCAATCAACCAATGTCTAACGTCTTCATGGCGTTATTAATATGCTCATAGGGATCCCAGTTATCGTTTCTTGTTAAAACCAAATAATAATAAATATGAATCACTATTTAGATACATTTGAATGACCCTTTCTCATAATGAGAATGCATATAGCATTATTTCGGTCTGGTCATGATTTTATGATGAATTGTATATTGATTGGAGTTTTATCAATGAACTAATCTAATTATGATATATCATATCTAATAATCAAGAATAGAATATTAAATTTACGGAAACATATTTGAATCTATCGTTGGAGATTGCCTAGAAGATATGTTTTCTCTTTTGCGTAAAAAACTCTTTGATCAGGATAAGACTAATATAAGTTAACTTATTTTTGGGGACAACTACCTTTTTATACAAACCGAATATTAAATCAGTTTATATGCATTTATAATTCTATTCCTCATCAAATCATAAATAAACTTATGAAATCTATATTTTTTTTTGGGGTATATTACCGGGAATGTGATTACCCCCTTCCCTTAGGTATTGTTGGATTACCAGCGTTTTGGACTAAAATGCCCTTAATTTTTTTTCCCAAAAATATCATTCTTCTGTCGTTGAATAATAAAAATTCTACGAAGGTTAAATTACAAAATTTTCCTTAAACTATTTTAGATTTACAAAAAAAATCTATAATTAAAATTTTATATGAAGTTCAGGGGTTAAAATAAAATTTTACCCTTTCATTAAACCTATTTATCTTTTCAATTTTGTAAAAAAAAATATAAATTTTATGAATTTAAATTTTTAAAGAAAATATATAAATTAATTATAGTATTATTATAGTAGAATTCAACTTGTTAAAAAAACAAATATATAATAAGGACAATTTGGTCAAATATACATTTCAATAATCTTTTATTACTTTAACCAAACACGGTAATCTTACATTCCTGTTAAACCAACCAAACACAAAATACAACATTCTCAGTAATCCTATTCTCTGATAATCTTTTATTCTCACTGATAATCTTACATTCCGTGAACCAAACGCACCCTAAGGATGTGTTACTGCTAACTGTAATCAAACACATTGGCTATTTATAGGACAATATTAGAGCTGCTTCAATCACTATGAAACTTCAATGTAAAGTGGGAAAAATGCTAAGTTATAGACATGACATGAACGGGTCTTTAACGGTTATATTTTAATAATATTGATGTTGATTTTCGTAGTTCCTCAAAATCTTTAAAATTTCATATCTTCTAAACATTTATTATACCTTACGCGACTATCGATATATTCACGTGATATGTAATTTATTATTTGACAGTTAGATTCATTTAACATGTCAATCTGTAAATAATTATCATCAATCTAGATTTGATATAAATATTAAGAGCTAATTTTTAAATCGCTATACAAGACTTAAGGCTAACCTTCTTTGAACGACTGTTTATCGTTGTCTTTAATCTATTTGATTTTTTTTTCATTGAATAATCAGACACAATTCTTTATCTAAATCAAAATGAATAAATTAATTTTTATGACCTCAGTTAGTTATGTTATTGTAATTGGCCCTAGGAATATGCCGACACCATTGTCAATGGCCGAGGGTGCCCACCAATCCATCAATTTCTAACGTGCTCATGGAGCTAAGAATTTCTAAATAATAATATTAATGAATTGTTGTACTAATAACCAAAATAAATTTTATTATGAAACCAAAATAAAAATATGAATACATCAATCTAAATAAGAGCACTACGAGTCTATGACATGACATGTACGAGTCTTTCACGTTTATACTGTTCCCATTAGACTATGAATAATAATTACGTTTTATATTTGTTATCTATTTCTTTATTTGTCATTATAAATTTGGGAATGAACGTCTGATATAATACTTAAACATTAACCTATAATGCTAACGTGTAATAATTTTGTCATTTTAATTATAGTTTTTTATTTATTAAAAAGTTATGAAATACAAACTTTAAGTAAAAGTAATAAACAATATTTCCTTAAAAAATTTAAATTAATTATTTATGATTAATTTATAGTTTTTGTTAAATTATAATATTTAACTTTTATTTTATTTTCTTATTATCATAAAAAATATTTAGACTTAAGGGTTATAAATCCCATTTTTTTTTAAAAATAATAAACCTTTATATGCAAAAAGCATATCCAATTATGCTTTCGAACTTAAAAATTATATTAATTAAGTCACTTAATTAAAAACATTTTTAAATGAGAAATTATGACGCATGTCAAATATATGCTTAGAGTGTGTATATCAAGGTTTTCAAAATATTAAAAATAAAATTCCTTGTTTGGATAAAAATAATAGGGAATTTTAAAAATGGATATTGGTAGCCAAAATCCTTTATTCAAATCCCACCCAATTTTATTTTATTTAATGTATATTATATCCATTATAAAATAAAAAGACAATTTTATTTAATTGTAATGTATAATTTTTATATTTTATATTATTAAATTATTTATATATTTTTATAAATCTAACGATATTAATATTGTATGTTCTTATATTATTTATTTTTAATATCACTAATATTTTTTCAAATTCGTTAACTTTTAATAACTTAAATTTTTATGGAACAGTTAATTATTTAAACAAAACAATCATAAATTACAAACATTTTTGAAATGATGCGTTTCAAACTTTAGATTCTATACACCACAAGTGCCTTAATGTGATTAGAAGAAAAATCAACAAAATCTAAAGCAATCAACTCATTAGAAAAATGCCAATAAACTCATTTCTAACGTCTTAATGGCTCCCATGGACGCGCAAGAAAATGCTGGGTAATTACAAAAATAATATAAGAATATGAATGTTTTTGTATAGCAAAAAAAAAACTATTGTAATATATAAAACCTATCAAGTGATCTCGGTGGTGATATGAAATGTTCTTCTTCTTAGAGATCTTGCATTCAAGCAGTCGTTTTTGTAGGTCTATATACATTGCCAATTGATTAAAAAATTATGAACAAATATTACCTTATAAACACCACGAACTATTAAAAAAAAACTACCATAATGCATATAACGTATACGATAATATTTCACGAACTATCATAATCAATATAACAAAAATTATTCCTTATAAAGAAAAATAAAAACAAACTACACCGATAATCATCGACCCATTACTTCTTTTCAATTAAAATAAAAATTTAAAAAATAAACTTTTAAGAGATTTGTCATTAAAAAATTACTCTCTCCGTCCCATTAAATTTGTCACTTATTCATTTTTTAAAAGTCAAAAATTTTAAACTTTGATCATGATTATTTTAAATATTTTAAACAATTAAATTTTATAAAATATATATTTCAAAATTACTTGATTGAAAGTTTTTAAAATATATTTTTTCATATTTTTATCAATAATAAAATTTAAATAATAATGAGTCAAAATTAAAAAATGACAAAAAAAATCAAATAATGGACAGTTTTAATGGGACATAATAAACATTTTTAAGAAGTTTGACATTATACTTATTGTACCTCCTCCACTCTTTTCTGCAATATCGTACATAAATTATCATTCATTTTTATTGAAGACTTCAGAAGAATTTTTTTGTTGATCAAATTTTTTTAGAGATCTATATTCTCCGATCGGTCATGATTTTTTTACTGTTATCAATGATAGGTTCATATGATCTCCAAAGTTAAATCTATTGTTAGACGGTCATATCTTTTCAACCTACTAATGTAACACCCTCACATGTATAGGTTCAAGATTCTACATTTGGCCACCGAAACAACCAATAGATAATTTTTTTCTCAAGAATACTTCATATATAAATATTTAAAATCCAACGAGTACCATAAAACATTTAAATAAGTACTATCTGAAAATTGGAGCTCCAATATAATGTTTCCAAAATACAACACAAAATAAGAAAGGTTTTACGAACTGAGTTTAGTGAAGTCCTATGGATACTGGTGCCAACTACAAGACTCAGAAGTCAGAACTGTACCCTAAAATAGTTGCTGAAAATCCTGAGATTGACGGTGCTCCACGAATCAATGGAATCAACTAACATGCGAACGAAAATATCCGAACGTTGAGCATCACAAGTTCAATAGTATATCGCTAACATAATGATCATAGCATGAATATCAATAATACAAGCATGCAAGAATATAAATAGTAGCAATATAAATCTGTTACCTATACTAAAACTCGAAATATCTTAAATCAGTATCTCAATATACCTACAAAACTCATCTTTGCAACATAGACCTAAAAAATTGTAGAGACTACAAAAGGATTACATCTCTTTAACAAAATTATTACTCATAACTCTAAAGGGTTAAGACATATTCTCTATTTATAGAGTCAAATATTTAGTCACCAAAAATATTCATTCAATAATAATTCTTACTAAATAAACTTAATCACCAAATAATCGTCAACCACTAGAATTAAAATAAACCTAACTTATACTAATTAGAATTTGAGTCAGTATCTAACAATCTCTTATTTGACACAAATTCAATTAGGAAATTGTTCTTCGAATCTTCAACAACTTCAATTCTTACGTAAGCCAAATACCATTGAAGCCGACAACTTCAATTCTTACATAATATTCGTTGAAGTACCACTGGATTAAATTAGAAATTAACTATTTCTATTAATGTGCCACGTTATTGAAGTAACAGGAGTTTACAACTCAGTGATCAAAATAAGACAGACCGATAACATAAGTAATCAAATTGTTACTTTTTTACAAATCGATGATCAAAATAAGATAAACCGGAAACAAAAGGACCACCTGTATAGTTTTCCCTATTATTTTTTTAGCAAAAAGCTATGTGTTCCGTGGGGAAATTAAGGTAGGAACAGAGTAGAAACTTGGGGATGTTGTAATCAAATTGTATCCAACATAAGTGGACGGACATCTGCTTGTGATGTAGATGTAATGCCGCAAGTGTAATATTCTGTTGAGAATGAAGTGGTCTCATTGGATTTTCTCACAACGAGATCAGATTGTGTTGGTTGATCGATGGGGATGCAGTCACCTTGCCATGTTCTAAGTCTTTCTAGTTCCATGGCCACTTCTTTCATTGTTGGTCTAAGTCTCCCATCCAAATTCAAGCATCTTTTAGAGAGTTGAGCAACTGCAACTACTTCATCCTTTAGACCATCTTTCACAATTTCACCATCAACAATATCCGGTAGACGATTTTCTTCCATGGCCGTCATGAAGTACGAAACTAAGCCTCTCATTTCTTCCGATCCTAATTTTGAGACAGCCTTCTGTCCCGTTAATAGCTCGACAATAACCACTCCGAAACTATACACATCACTTTTTTCAGTGAACTGACTAGACTGGAAGTATTCAGGATCCAAGTATCCAAATGTCCCTAGCACCTGAGTAGTCAAGTGAGTTTGATCAAAGCCTACCGATCTAGAAGTTCCGAAATCTGATACTTTTGCTCTAAACTTTTCGTCTAGAAGTATGTTACTCGACTTGATATCTCGGTGATAAATCGGGACCGATGCAGATGAGTGCAGGTAAGAAATCGCACTCGCAACTTCTGCTGCAATGCGCAATCGTATATCCCATGACCTTGGGTACTCTTCATTTTGGTCATGGATGAAATGAGAAAGGGTTCCATTGGGGATGAATTCATAAACAAGGAGGGGTACTTCAGTCTCCAAGCAACAGCCTAATAGTTTGACAACATTCCTGTGATCGATTTGAGAAAGTATAACGATCTCATTGATAAATTGCTCGAGAAACCCTTGGTTTACTGTCATGGACTTCTTTACTGCAACAATTCTCCCGTCCGGTAACATTCCTTTATAAACCATGCCTTGGCCACCACGACCCAAGATTCTGTTCTCATTGTATTGATCGGTAGCTGCTTCAAGCTCCTTGGAACTGAAGAGTTTAGCTTTATCAAGACCACCTTCATTTGAAGACAACTTTTTCTGAAACAATAACCCACCATTTCTTTCAAAGAGTTTCTGTTTGAGTTTAATGTTCTTTCTTCTCTCCAGTACCTTATAAAGCTTCCAAACCCCAGCAATTAGAACCAAAAGCCCTAAACTTGAGCCAAGAACTGCATTAAATCAAAATAAATGTCAGTTATATTATTAATTCCATTTATGCTACGATTTGAATATATGATATAAAAATGTATATATGATTAAAATAACTTTCAAAATTGTCAAGATAAATTATCTTTTATCAATTATCAATTGGTATAATAGGAAGAGTATTTTAATTTGTCAGAGGCTGTCACTATGTATATGTAGTTCTTGTATGGACAGGTGTTCTATCGGATCTTTGGTCCCGTAATAGGTTTCTTTGGACAATTTGGACAGCTTAAAGAGCGAGGAGTAGGAAACTGCCAGTACATGGGACATGAGAGGACATGAGAGGACTTTACTTCTCTTCAACCCAATCCCCTTCGACATTATTTACAACCCAGAGATCATTGATTTGTCTCTGCATGATTTCTATCTGATTTCTCCACTCCTGCTCCATTGGATCGACATGTCAAGGCATATATTCAATATTTCCTCCCAACGGTCAAACTATCCCTGCTGACATCTCTCCTCAGCATTGAAGGCCCCTACTTCCTCTTCTCCTCGGCGCCTACTCCCCCGACTTTCGGAGATCAACACCTTTTGGAGAATTTTTTTGAATCAACTCTTGTTGTTGTTGAGTTTGTTGCTGCAACTGCAGTTGGGCCGCCTGAGAGGCTTCGAACTGTGCTTAAAAATTTTGCAACTCATTCTGCAAGTTGTACATTTTCAGGATGATTTTTCCGTGAGAGTACGAGAACTGCTGGTACAATTGCTAGGGGCATTGTTGACTGATTTGATTGTAGGCACCCTGATATATCTGATAGTAAGTTGAATTGTAAAAGGTTTGTTGTCGCTGACAGGAAAATTTTGGTTTATCATAGGGATTTTGCGAAGAGGACGACAAGTTGGGTCGGTTGCTTTGTTTTTGTGGGTTCATTTTAACTTGTTCTTTTGGTGGAGTAGTTCTAAGCTCATCGCACTAGTTATTGATGGTAAAATATGGGTTGCGACCGTTATAGGGCAGTTCATCCTTTCTTGGATGAAGAATTGCAACCGATAATTTTAAAGAGTGTAGTGTGTTGAAGATGAAGAATATGAGCCGCGAAGAGAATGAATTTTATATCTTTTTTTTTCAATTTTGCATGGAGGTTTATATACTGACCCCTAATTTGTCAGATCTAAATTTATTATGACTATTCGTATGCTGATAGAATAAATAAATATGATCGTGTGATAGTAGATTTTGGTATCCGTAAGAGTTGTCAATGACTTTAGGCTATTCGGAAGATTGTTGATCTTTGATACCTCTAGTTAGTGGAGGAATTCCTCCAAAGACCTTGTTTTTTTGGGAAGTTTTGGTCAACAGAAAAAAATCGAAGAAAGTATAATAATATATATTTGAAACGTTAATCCGTGCAATTCAATTTATTTTATTTATAAGGTCAAGATTTAAACCTTTAACGTTATATCTTTATTCGAATGATGTATTATTCCCTTAAACTAAAAATATAAGTAGCAATTAATTAGACGTACCAACCTAGTAGAGCAAGAATGAGGGGACTGTCAGGGCTCGATTTGGTTTGAGTGCAACCTGTTCCATTTTTCCAGCCATCACCCTCGAAGCCTTCAGGGCATGAACAACTATAGCTTCCAGGTGTGTTATGACATGTTCCAACACTAGTGCAAGGCTTCAGTGTCTCACATTCATTAATATCTACAATTTTGCAAACATTTCAAACCAGAAAAAGGATATTGAGCACAAAGTTACAGATCTGCAATGGAGAAGTTGATATTTCTTTACCTTGGCAGCCGAGATAAGGGTTACCCTTAAAACCATCAACACACTTGCACAAATATCCATCATTATTATCTGGATCAATACAAGCACTATGTGCCTTGCAAGCATAATTTTGTGGATCCCTTTGAGCTTCTGTGCAGTTTTGGCGCCCGATTGTCCAATCAAGAATAAGTGGGAACTCTCTTTTGCTGAAATTAGTGTCATTAAGATCTGAAACAGAGAAGTTATAGGCTCCATCTTCCACTACGAATCCATAGCTGCAAGGATTGAAGCTCAGCACACTGGAATGGTTCTCACGGCTATCGAAATTGTATTCATAACCCCTCAGTCCTTTAGGTATAGCCGTCTGGCAGCAACCGATACCGGAGCAAGACCCGCCTATCACATCGTCGAAGCCCCCACAAAACGTTAAACATCCAGTTGAAAAGTTTTGTGGGTTAAAGTATGGTCCTTGGAAGAAACTGCTGATGTAGATGATAGTGTCGCAACCAATGGCCGTGAGCTTGTTTCTTGTATGAGATATGACGAGTTCATAGAGGTAGGCGGCGAACCCTGAAACGGATTGTGTGTAAGGTGAATGTCCTGATGAACTATAACAGGCGGAACCTATGTTCCCACTAGAGCTAATGCGCACATAACCATCGAGAGAGATGTGGAGAACTTGAACTTCAGCATCACCACCCCCGAGGACATCACCACCAGGAAGTATCATACTGGGTTGTGCTAACGTTAAGAATGGTTTTGGGGGATCCAAAGTGGTGTCACAACGAACGAAAAAATCGCTGCTGATGTTGCAACCGTTGGCTGTACCAAAAGGGTATGGGATGCTGATATTTCCGCAGTGGCTTTGGCACCCTGGTTTTGATTGAGCGGCGACTGAAGTTGACGCAAGTGTTAACATAACTGCAAACAACGCAACCTCCGTCAACATACGATCAAACCCCATCATTCCCTTTTGTTTTCTCTTCTCTCGGCTACGGAAATGGTGGATAACTCATTGGATCACATCTAAATATTGGCTAATAACGTGTAGGAGTAGCATGTTTGAAGATTCAAAGCCTTATTTAATAAGTCGTGTTGACTCATTGCTTCCCCCCTAAAGACTTCTACTCATTTACGTGATATTTGGCTTAAATGAATCTTCTCCCAAATTCAATCTACCCTTCCATGGATGAACAGTGTATAAACAGACAGCTACATTTCACCCTCAACAACACGTTTTACATTGCAAATTTAAGTCATCATCGCCCTTTTTCTCTTCCGTATTGTTATTTTTAGAGAATATGAGTTTAATTAATTGTACATGCATACAATTTATTAATAGATTAATTTTTTTAAAATAAATAATATATTTTAATCGCTTCAATTATTCAAAAAAATAATATTTTTTCTATAAAAAAGTATGTTCTTCTTGTAAATAATTAATCTTAGTTTTTTTAAAAAAAATATTTTTTTAGTTAATAATAATTGTTAGATTTATTGAACAAGGAGAAAATAACCGACAACCAGTTGATTTAGTGAGATAAGATACTAGATTCATTAAGAAATGTTAGGAGTTTGAACCTCGTTTGTGAATAGAGCAAATAAGATTGAGAATGTCGCCCCCATAATAGGTCTCTATAAAATTCAATATGAATTAGTCGATTAATAAATATGATACAACAATTAATTCAAAAAACAAAAGAGAAAATATATTAAAATTATAAGAAATAAGTTAAATATTTTTTTGTAAAATTATCAAAGTGCACAAACTAATCACCTAAAAATAAGAAATGATCGTATAAAAAAGTCTACAAAATAAATATCACCGATATTTATTTTAAAACATATAAAATAATAATTACTCGTTGAAATTAATCATACTTTAAAGATTGTAGTAACGAGAAATTGTATATTAGATAGGATGAGTCTATAATGCATGACACACACGATATGCACCACTAATGACTTACATCGATATATATCACTAATATTTTCATATGGTAAAATTTATAAATTATCATTAAAATTTTTTAAAAATAATTTTATTCTTCATTAAATTTTTAAAAGTTACAAAATTGACATTAATCTTTGGATTTTGTTAAAAGATGGATACCGAACATTAAATATTGTTAAAGGAAATGACGTATGATGCTAAATTAATAAAAAATCTTATTTGATCCCTCAATTATAATTAAAATATAATTTTGATATATATATATATATATATATATATTTTCAACATTTTTAAGTAGCAATTCTAAAAGAATAGATAATTCAAATTTTAAAATATATATATGATAACAATTTATTTTTTAATATTTTAAGAAAATATTTTTTAAAGAAATTTAGTTCATCAAATACATCTAAACTTAAATAAATAATCGAAATAGTCCTTAACTTTAAATAACATGTTAAATAATTTATATGATACAAGCTCAATATTTATAATATAGCAATAAAAAATAATATTTATGTATTTATTTATTTTGTTAAGGAATGAAAAAAACGAGTACTAAGCTACTCTAGTGCTTTCCTCATGGATTCTTAATATATCAAATAATATTTATTTTATTTATATCTATTTTGTTTTTAATTCAGCTGTCACACCCCAATTTAGGGGCTAAATTTTAGAAATTTTAAAGTATTGAATTTAAGTGGTATTTTGGAAGAAATTAAGGATTAAAGTGTAAAATCGAAAAGTTGGCAGACCATTTTAGTAAGTGTAGGAAATTCAGGGACCCAATCCTGAATTTACCTATTTTTCTTATGTATTGAATTATAAACTCTCTCTCCCCCGAAACAATATGGTTTTTCCAGATTGTTTTTCCCATTTCCTCTTCCCCCTGTCAACTTTTTTGGCTCTATTTCTCCACCGTTCGGCCACTGTTCATCGATCCGAAACCACCATCGTGTTCGTTATTGACCGGAGAACAAAACCCCTCAAACCTCTCGTCGTGAATTGACGTCGTTCGTCGTAAAATTCAACTGGAAGTTTCGTCGGTTTAACTCGATCGTCGTTGGTTTTTCGTCGATTTCGGTCGATCTGGCCACCCGTTTTCGACACCTCCCACACCATCGTGTTCCTTGCATCGTTCTGAGTCCGCCGGTGTCCTTCTTATCTCCGTCGTCGCCGGCGCGTGAGGGGGTGAGGAAGTTAAAGTTTTTGATGTTTCAGAATCGAGATTTCCGCTGTTCAAAATTGTGAACCGAGCCTGGTAAATATCTCAAAATCCCTTAAAATAATTTTAGAAATTTTTGTGGAATTTTTCGGACATCGTACGTGCCCTCACGCGCCGCTCTTGCGTGTTATGGACAGTTTTGACCCTGTTTGACCCGGTCCAACCCAACCCGACTGCCCGACCCGACCCGTTGATCGTTGACCTTGACTGTTGACCGTTGACTTTTCCCAGAAAGACAAAATTTTCAAAAATTCATATTTTATGTTTTTGACATCCTGAGTCCGATTCCGAAGTCCGATTCGCCAAATTCGAACCCGGTAAGCTGTTTTTCATTGATTTTTCACCTAAATCGATCTATTTTTCGCAATTAAGCTCTGTTTTTAATGAAATTTCTGTTAATATGTATCCGAGGAATTATTGGAAGTTGATTTCAAGATCATGGGTGTTCGAATGGAGTTTAAATGGTTGATCAGTATGACACAAAAATTGAGGTAATACATTATTACCTCTTTATGCTTTATAGAACATGTTGATAATGAATAAATGCATTAATGTATATGATTGGTCTATTATGCCTGTTTGATTATGGATGGATTCGAACCGAATACGGTTTAAGTGATAAATTATGAGAATACTTCGATTAGGTAAAATTATGAAAATATCCTTATGTTATAAAAAAACAAGAATTGACCCTGGAAGTTGGATAAGAAGTTTGTAAAGACATATTGATCTGATGAAACTACTGATGTGTATAGAAAATACTAGCTTTGCTTAGGAAATATGGATAACCGATTTCTAAACCCAAGATGGCTTGTACAAGATACTAGAAGTTTGATAAGGAATAATTTAAAGTTTAGAGATTATCCGGAAAATCGATTAACCCTAGAATCTTTAAATTATAATTATATTTGTTAAGAGTTTTAATACCGAAATTATATGGTTAAGAAATTATGAAATTACCCTTGAGAGGGAAAATTAGCCCAAATTGACTCTGAATGGAAAGGTACTCAAGAAGTCATGCTTAAATCGATAAATTACTAGTTTCATCGTTAAGTTCACACGTTTATACAGAAAATTCCTGATAATCCGTAAATCTCTGAGTTATGAGTAAATACCGGAAGAATAATTTATGGAGGGTGCTCTTTTGTCAGAATTGTTTGAAAATACTGGAATAGATGATAAGTTTAAATTAAATAATAAGATCGGACGGAAGAAAATGATTGAAATATCCTAGATCTGTAAAATGACCAAATTAGGAATGATTGGATATCTTCCAACTCTGAAACAACTGGAATAATATTGGGCACCAAAATGACCAAAATACCCTTATGACCTAGAATAAGTAAATATCTTGGATTAATTAAGAAATCCAAAAAAACATGGATGTTGTACTGCTCTTAAAAGTTATGGAACGTAGTTTAAGCCGGTAAATCAACGCTACTGCTATATCAGTACATGAATGGCATATGTACCATTTGAATGCTTGTTCGTCTCCTCAAGTTTAGATCGATGATAATTATGGAAGTACTCAGATCAGCTCAACTCTAGAGAGCATTTGGTACTAAGAAGTGGATATTCGTTAGACAAATCAACTACAAATACCAAATTGAATTGACCAGAAATACAATATATATCCGAAATACATAAACGTACGAATTACTCTGGAAAACTCTAGAGTAACTGGGATAGACTTGGCAACTAAATGAACTAAGTAACCTCAATGACTGAGGATTAAGTTAGTGATTGGGATAAGTCTGGAAACTAGAATGAACTTACATGATGTATCACATCTATGGGTCATGAACTACAAATCAAGCACGACAGCATTTCATGATACCGTGGAAGCGTGAAAATGAAATAAAGACCATTGGAAGATCTATTCAACGATGATTCTGAAGATGATCTATGGACAAGAATATTTGGTATTAAAGAGTAAATACACTGGAAGGGCAATGAATTGACCAATCAACAAATATCAGTTTTGTGAGCTGTTTATCTTGAGTTGTTTGATAATCCGATCAATCGACATAGATTGTAAAGGTCCTGATTCTTTGTTCTCATTTAACAGCTCAAATCACTCTGGTCATATCTAAAAATATAAGTAACTCAGATGTAAAGGATTCTGAATAACTGATGATTCTGTCAGTTAATGAACTTTTCTAATAGTGATTCTAAATTCCAACATTTTATCGGTATACTGAAGATCCGTGTTTCTCTACCCGATAAGATTATCCAATATCTCTGAATAATATTTGGAAACTCTAGTGTGTTCCCTAATCACATGAATATTTTATCTGATTTTCGATTTGAATTTTGTTATGATACCTGACATGGATTTTGTTCTAATACCTGACCTGGATTTTGATATGATATCTGACATGAATTATGTTTTTCATTTTTGATATATCCATTTACGGACGGAACATGTTTTATTTGGGGGTATTGTTGGAGGAAGAATACTTGTAGTCTCATCGGCTTTGTGCTCAGGGCCTTACTGGATGTGGTGATGGGTGTATGGTTCTGGGGAACCTACACATTTTGGACGTGTTCGGTTGGGGGAATTACTATGGTTTTTGAATTTTAAAAATATGTTTTAAAAAGATCTGTATCATTTCACTAGTTTTGCGGGAACACACTAGATAACCTATTTTGATCTTCTGAACCCAGTCACCTGAAATATTTCCCTTTGAACTGAAACTTACTATATGTTACTACTTGAGACATCAGTGAAACCTTAGCTTAGCCTAAAAATATGTACATGTCTGATCCAATAAGGAAATATATGTTATATGTATCTATATGTTCTTCAGCATCATCTGGTAGTTCTGTATTACTGAGCTTTCCAAAACTCACTT